TTGAAGGGAAGGGAACCAACAACATCCAACAACCTATAAAATTGTGTGCCTGTATATATATATATATAGAGAGAGAGAGAGGTAACTACTGGTGGAGGCCTTCTCAGCTTGTCCTGTACCTTTCCGCTTTTCTTCCCAAAAAAGCCCTCGTCGCACGCACTCCGAACCGGGCGCCTCATCCGTTGCTTGCACCCAGAACCCCCGCGTCGTCGCTTGCTTGGCCATCATTCCTCGGTCGCACCGCTCCTTCGGCGCGCGGAGACGGAGGAAGATGTAGAACCATGTGGAAGATGGTCCTCAAACAGCGGTTGATTGGAAATTATTCTAAGATGAACTCAACAAACAGTGAGTTCTTTGGAAGGTGTTCTACATGGAGATCCGATTGGATAAGGGGGCTGCCTATTGAGGGCTGTACACTTGCGTGGATCTGTATGAATACCGTGGATTCTTTGACAGTGGTTTCAAAAGAAGTGTAGTGATCCCCAGCTAGACAAAAACATCGTCCAAAACATGCTTCGAAGATTTGGTATACCATTTTATATCTTCTTGGAAGGCCACGATCATCAAGAGAACACCTACGACTCTCTTCTACGACTTGGCTGTTTGAAAGTATGGTTGAACACAGAAGAACACATCGGTCTTGCTAGCGACACTGTCACCGCAACAAACACCAGCTGCCAGCTTCTGGAAGAACCATGGGGCCTCTTTTTGCACTTCTAAAGCCGTTGCTCACGCCAGCAGCCTACTCAATGGGGCCTCACAACATATCACAAACCCTTGTATCAACTGCTGTCAATGCAAAAGATGGAATTTGCGTGCCCGGCCCTTGCTTTTTTTACCAGCTTGCACCAATTGGAGCTTGATCAGGTTCCTTTTTGCAGGATGCAATCAGCAGCTAAGTCCATGCTGGTTTGCTTCTTTATATACATATGAACCGATATATTCTGCTTTCTATGAAGGAATCTGAGCCTCTTCAGCCTCTTCAGCTCCTTCCCCCCATCCTTCTCCCAAGCAACGAAGCAGCCGGTCGGACTTCGCATCCACCAAGCCCTGTACGCGTCACATCCGGTCCCACGTCCGTCTGCGGGGGGACTGATGGGTGTTTTCTCCCCAAAAAAAAAGGATGGCCGGTCGAGTCCGCAGATCGAGGTCTTCGTGCAATAGAAAGGTGTTGCTTTTTTTCGAAAGGCCTCAGGCGTGTGCGTCGGTTTCGTGCGTTGGTTCTTTTGCTGGGCATCGTGGAAGTTCCTTTTTGGGGGGGTCACGGGGTGGAGGTTGATTTATGATTCTATGATGGACAGGAATGAATCAGAACTGGGCAGATTGTTGGAACATGGTGATCGCAAGAGTATTCAAGACAAAGAGAAGACGTGCCACCTCACATGCAACACACTAGGAATCAAGGAGCCAATCAACGCCCAACTGTCTGGGTGTCGGTACAGAACTCCGCAGAGGTGAAACTTGGAGCCAAAGCTATGTTTTTGAGATAGTTATTATATTATATATTAGTTCTATTCTATTAGTCTATTACTTTATGTTATACCATATTATACTGTTATTGTGTTTTACCATATTATACTAACTGCAATAATATATCTACAGTAATATACACTTCTATATACATATGTCTAACGACGTACGTGCTGGTCTTCCGGTTCCTGCACCTCTCCCCGTCCGCTCGCCTTGTCGCTGCCCTCGCCCCCCGTCCGCTCCAAGAAGCGCTCCACCTGGCCGCGAGGCGTTCGGGACGGGGACCGGTGACAGCGGGTTCTCCAGCCCTAGGGATCCAGTCGTACCGAACCTCAGGTACGGGCTTATGTGTTCCACACTGGAGACTGTAGGTGCCTGGGTCCAGTCGTACCGAACCTGAGGTACGACTGGATCGCTAGGGCTGGAAGAGGTGAGAACACCGAGGGGAAGCCAGAGAAGACCGAGGAGTGAGGGTCGAACGGGAAGGAGCTGTGAATCACTAGTCCTGGAGGCTCGCGATGTCCAGTTCATCCACTTTGCAAAGGAACTTGACGCCTAAATGAACAGACTGGGATGGTGAAACTACCATTGTCTTGGAGGCTGTGGTTTTGACCCGCACCCAAATCAGCCTTCCAAAGCGAACTTTGAGATATCCCTCGATCAGCTCAAGCGCGTCACCAACAACTAGGCCCCCGCTGAAGCAGGATCACAACAACCACCACAACCCAAGGAATGAACCTCGGCCCGATGATACATTGCGGCTTGGTGACAGGAAGTAACGTCGTGATGGCGGCGTCATGGCGGCGATCAATCACGAAACTACTGCCAAAACAATGGCTGAATAAGGACGTATGTATGTTGGACTCTCGACAACTTTTGATTCCCAGACCACGTTCCCCACAAACCGCGGCGTCCAGAGTCCGCGGCGCACCTCTTCAGGCGTGGAGCCTTGTCTCCGGAGTTGTTTCAGGATCTGCTGCTGCACCTGGTAGGCGTTCCTGGCGAAGCTCCGAAACTCCCGGGCCCGGCCGCCTTTGGGAGTGAGCGCGGAGAGAAGATGGCCTTCAGAGGAGTGAAGGATGGGCTGTGTGCAGGACGATTCTGGTCGGACCCAAAGAATAAGGGATGGATTTGACAGTGACCAGCCGGGCCACCCACTACACCCACGTGTTGGAACATCCAACAGCCTGCCAGGCACCCAGAGTCCAACTCGGCCTTCCTCTTAGTTAAGAAAGGTGGACATGGAGTTGCCCCTCTTAAAGCCAAACGACGGATGTAGGGAATGGCACCTTACATCACCTTACCTGTCTTACTCTGTTCTTCGCTTCGACACGATGCTCCGTGCCTCCGTGCCTTGAAACCAAAGCCTCCCTCCAAAACCTCACTCCGTCAGACCTCTTTCGTCGGACCGTTCGACTTCGGCCTCTTGGAATCTGCCATCTGGTCCAGGTACTTTTGCAAAGGATCGGGCGCAGGCCAGAGCTTGAAATGCCCTCAGTCACGTCACGTGATGCTGCGGGTAGGCCCCGCGAGGAAACGCGGGAAACCGTGCAGTCCTGCTGCACAGGGGTTTAGGGTTTTACAGACCTTTGAGACTCCGGGTGTCTTTCTTTTTCGAGGGGGCCAAGGCCATGGTAAGAAAGGTGCCTTCCAAAGGTGCTTCGCACCAATGGAGTGATCCATCACAAGAAAAACCATCAAATTACAAGCAGCTTTTAAGCCAGCTGTGGTGTGGCCATCTTTTGGAAGTCATGCACTGCCATGATCACGCCAGTTCCTAGCCCAATTGGCTTGCTGCTAACCCATCATGTCCGTTTTCAAGCCAGTGCCGCCGTTCGACCAAAGGCTTCACCACCTTTCGACCCATTGGTTCCATCCGACCTCCATCACTACTCAACCAGGCGAACCAGGCACCAGAACCGCCCCCCCGACCGGTGTTGGGCTTCCCCCACGGACGGGTCCCCAGGCGTAGTGGGTCACAATCCAAGGCCTCGCGATCCGTTGTGGACGAAGCGGTCGTCATCGTGGTGGACGGGGTGTGGGTGTACTGTTTGGGTCAGTGGCACAGAATGGCACAAGGGGAATAGGAATGAAAAGGTGGAATTCTCTCTTCAGGATCTAGTCTTCATCCAAATTCGAGGAAATTTCAAATGGCTGTTGAGGACCTATACTGCTTCGAAGGTTGTAAATGGTGCCGGACACCTCGTATCAGTCTGGGGGGGGCGTGCCATCTACTTCTACACCAACTAGGGACTAGTTCGGCACCCGTGCATCCTAGAACCACATACGTGCATCTTGGAACATAGACAGCTAGGGCAAAGGTTCGCAACAAGGCCACGAATGCGTGACCTGCAACTACCCTTTCCTCTGAGAATCCGACAGGGGATCACAGTGGAATTCCGGCGGAGTAATTTCCACCCCAGGCCCCAAAGTGAATATTTAGTATATAGGGGTGGAAATTCTCCGCCCGAATTCCATTGGGAAAGAGAAGTCATGTCAACGAGATTCTGGAGGGAAGCTGTTACCCAAACTTTCTTCCTCCCGAAGCATAAGTTCCATCATGCTTGCAGATCGCGTGATTCTGAGTCGAGCTCGACCCAAATTCATCTCGCAGACATAGATCGAAGACCTGGACAAATCCAGGTATATAGGCAAAAACTTGGGACTTGAGGTGAGTAATGGTGATTCCTTTCGATCTCCCATCTCAGCTTCGGCATCCTCGATGAACCTTCCGTGCCCCTCGGCTCGGTATCGCCTCCCGGCCCGGTGCTCGGCATCCTCGACCACATCCATCTTGTCATACTTTAACTGGAGCATCTCATAGCCTTTTAAGAAGACTGGAAGACTGTGAGCCCTCCAAAGATGGCCCACTGTGTCATTCAACTGGTTGGTGGTCAAAAGCTGCCCGGAGAAAAAAACAGGGATGTTGAGAAAAGCTTAGGGATGCTGATCCGTAACGACGTTTAGAGGGCCGATGCCCGGAACTTGCACAGGGTGGGTGCGATGAGTCGGGAGTTGATCCGGGCGGAATTTAAGGCACGAATGCCAACTGTCCCAAGGTGTGGAAGAGGATGGATCACCAGTTTCGGAAGCATCGGTTCTTCCTTTGAAAAAACGGGTCCTCTCGGGCCACACCCACGTGTGTCTTTAAACAGTGCAGGGTACAGGAAGTGATGTGAGTGAATAAAACATGCTTTTCTCATTCTGGACCTGGATTTGAACCTTCTGCTGACGACCAAACTTGTCAACAGGAGGATACCCTTAGTCCCAGGAGCGGACTTATTCCATCGGCTGGCCGGAAGCTGGCTGGTGAGGAAAAACAACAAGTCGACGAACCAACAATCGTGATCATACTGTGTTCAGGTATGCCTCCCAAATCCTCACATATTTTGGGCCATTTGGGTGGTGGCCTGTTGCACAAAAGGTCCTCAATCAGCACTTATAGACTACAGGGTCTGTGCCAAACCCTAGGGATCCAAGTGCCTTGTCAGAAGGTGATTGTAGACACTGTCATGTAAGTTTGGAGGGTCCAAGTACCTTCTGAGAAGGTCCCAGGGAAACTAAAGACTACGTTTCCAACCGACCGGCTTGGAACTTGGAGAGCGCCCATGTCTCGGAAACTGCGACCGAGAGGTGCTGCCGAAGCGAACCAGCGAATGTCAGCTGCAGCGAACGTCAGCGGCTTTGGCAGCTAGTTCTCTGAAGCGAGCAGTTCTTGGAGCACTTCTACGTGGCCGTAGAGGCTTGCAAGGTGCAAAGGTGTGCAGCCATCTTTGGCTGCAACTTCCTTTTCAACCCCTGCCTGAAGCAATTCTTGCACCACGTTTAGGTGACCCGGTCCACAGGCTGCGTGCAAAGCTGTATCACCACCATGTGTTGCAGCATTCTTCTCAACTCCTGCTTGGAGCAATTCTCGCACCACTTCTAGGTGACCTTCTCTACTTGCCCAATGCAAGGCTGTGTCGCCATGTTGTGCTGCAGCATTTTTCTGAGCTCTTGCCATCAGCAGCTCTCGCACCACTTCCAAGTGGCAAGACGAACTTGCCCAGTGCAAAGCTGAGGTGCCATTCTTGCAAACAGCGTCCTTCTCAGCTCCTGCCTCAAGCAATTCTCGCACCACTTCTAGGTGTCCTTTGCTACTAGCAAAATGCAAAGCTGTGGAACCATGTTCATCTGCTGCCTCCTTCTCAGCTCCTGCCTCAAGCAATTCTCGCACCACTTCTAG